TTTTTTAATGTTATAATTACTTATATGCATTTTATACACTCAATATATAGTTTATTTTTAATGTTTGTACAATAGTATTTTGAATGTAATCTGTTTAAAAAATACGAAGTACAAATAATGTGAAAGTTCTAAATAAATATAATACTTTAATGAAATTATTGATTTCTTGGCACTGCAATACAGTAGCTGAAAATTATTTGACCATGACCCACAGTAATAAATACATTTTATTTATTACACTCTATGTGTGCACATAGTAGCTGAAAAATGAGATTCAAAAATGAAATTCAATTCATACCCTTTTGTATAGATGATGATCTTTGTTACTTTTATTCTATTTATCTTATCCTGTTCTATTTCATTTTGTTAATGCTGGTAATAACCCATAAACTGTTTTTATGACTTACTAAATCCACATGACTCTCAGTTTGAAAAAATGGCATCTTACTGAACATACTGGTAAACATTTTTCTTTAATATGGCATATATTCATTTTAAAAAGGAAATCTTAATTATTAATTTATAATGGACAATACATACAAGGATTTCATTTGCTTTTTCTCAAATGTCAGTAAGATGTCTAAGAAAAGAGACTGCTATAGGAACTTCCCAAACTGTTACCAAAATCTGATGGTATCTTCTATAAGGACAAGTGAAGCTCCTAGGAAAACAGACAGGTAATGTTTCCCAGATTTTAGTCTACCCAAAAATTACCTGGAGGAGATGCTAAAGTTTTAGATTCCCAGGTTCTGAACATCAGAGATTCTAATTCATTGATGGAGCACAGGAACTTAAATTCTTAAACACGCAAATAGATTTTAACACTCATGAAATAAATATTTTACTTTAAGACCATTTGCTTAAGTAGTATGCATTGCAACTAAACTATTAAGTTCTTGTAAACACCATATAAATTAACAACCACATTCCTTATTTTTTTGTCCAGGTTTTGACATCCCTTTAGCATAGAGCGCATCTAATTTAAGATCCCCAAATTGAATGATATGTCAGTATTAGTTCAGAGTTTTCTATTATTTCTTTGCAAGTCCATTGTTATCTTTTTTTCACCCAGATAATTATTCCTACTAGTTCAATAGGAATCTCCCAACAGAAAAAAAATGAAATATTTATTTATTTTTAATTAAATTGATCATAGTTTTAGTTGATTAAGACAGAATATATTTATTATTAAAATTAATAGAAACATAATGAATTAAATTCTCTTGTTGCAGGGAACTAAACATGCTTAATGGAACCCTAGTGTTCATCTGTTCTCATATGTCCCAACTTTTTCCAAGGGAGTAATTTATGGATTGAGAGATTCTTTTATAAAGTCTGTCATTTTACAATCATTTGCCTCTTAGGTGATACACCAAAAAATGAATTTAGGCCAAGAATTCTCATTATACAAATATATTTCCTTCACATGCAGATGAATAGCATCTATCAAGTTGAAAAGTCAAGTCATTTAACCCAAATATTGGATTATTATTATTTATGTCTACTATAATTGCTAACATCTATTCTGCCATGAAGACTCAATTAAGGGATGCAGATGCAACTGTGATCATGTTAATTACATTAGCATCTTTTCAGTTTCCTGATTTAAAAAGGTAGCTGTAGGAAAATATAATTTTTTTAAAAAA